GTGGGGCTCAGGTAGCCCTCAGGTGGCAGATCGAGAGGAAACTGGTGACAATTCCCAAGAGTGTGACCAAGAAGTACATTCAGGAAGACTTCGAGATCTTTGACTTCACGCTTACCGCGGATGAAGTCAAAACTATTCATGACATGCATTAATGTTTGAAATTAGATTATTATATTATATAAATATTATTTAATGAAAATTTTAATAAAAGATTATTTCAATGTAACAATTGTCTCTATTTTGATGTGCACTAATTAATTAGAAAAAACTATCTCCTAAATGTTTAATGACAAGTTTTAAAATAGTTTTAAAATAGTTTTAAAATAGTTTTAAAATAGTTTTATTTGTAGAATAATAATCTCAAAAAATGAAAGTGTAATGTAAACCGTATTTTGTACAGTATAGGTAAATCTATATTAAATAGATTAGCTATTTGTAATTCAAGTAGAATTGTGATCAAATAATTTGTAAAAACCGATTATTACTTACTGAATGTTGTGAACTAACTGAATGTACTGAATGTAGGCAAGAATTATACACTCAAAATGTGTACGATATAATGTACTCTAATACACAAACAGTAATATAACTTATTAATATCGTACTTAAAATTTCAAAGTATCGGCAATTAATAGCAAACAACTGGTTTAAAGTGACACTTTGGCTGAGAATCACATCATTAACTAAAATATCATTTCTAATCAAATATACCTGCCATTTGTTCAAGGCCTTTTATTTAGTATTTATATACAGACAATTAATTGAAAAAAGTTATTATTTTATGAACTCAATAGAAACGACAATTCTTTGTATAGATTTATAATGAAAGTCGTTGTGGTTTTGGCACTAACTATGGCAGTCGTGTCGGCAAAAAGTAGGCATTCATTTGAATACCTTTCAAAAATTATATAAATTACTATTCTATGTATTTTTGTATCATTTATGTGATTAGCGCCGGCTGTTAAGCTGAACACCGGCTATGAGATGCCGCAGATAGGTATAGGCACGTGGCAGGCTACCGGTGATCCCGTACGACAGGCCGTTAAGGACGCCCTGGCCATTGGCTACAGACACGTCGACACCGCCTATATCTACAATAACGAGAAGGAGGTGGGAGAGGGTATTAACGCCCAAATCGGCGCCGGTATCCTCAAGCGGGAGGACCTGTTCATCACAACTAAGGTGTGGCCGGACGGCAGTAACCGGAAGAAGGCGTTGGAGTCTATCCACAACTCGCTCACTAAATTGAACGTCACTTATTTGGACTTAGTTTTGGTGCACTGGCCTCGAGACAACTACTCCGACACTTATCAGGGTCTGGAGGACGCCTTTGACCAGAAGTTGGTCCGATCTATCGGTGTCTCAAACTTCGGTCGAAACGAAATCAATACTCTGAAGAAGACGTGGAAAGTGGTGCCCGCAGTCAACCAAATCGATATCCACCCGACCCTTAACCAGGACGACACCGTTGCCTATTGTAATGAATTAGGTATCTCTGTTACCGGTTACTCGCCATTGGGTACCGGAAAACTCATCCAAGATCCAACTTTAACCGCTATTGGCAAGAAGCACAACAAGAGTGCGGCTCAGGTAGCCCTCAGGTGGCAGATCGAGAGGAATCTGGTGACAATTCCCAAGAGTGTCAACAAGAAGTACATTCAGGAAGACTTCGAGATCTTTGACTTCACTCTCACCAAAGATGAGATCCAAACCATTCATGACATGAAGGCTTAAATTGTTATATTTAGTAATGAGATATAGTTAATTAAATTTTTATAAAAGATTATTAAATAAATGTTCAATATAAAAACATTAATTTTAATTCACAAATTATTAATAAACAGGAACTGGTGAAACAATGTTTACAAAATTCATATTCACAAATATTATCTTATAATTATTATTCAAACTCAATTGACAAGTAGTTTTTATTTGAAAATAATTGTAATTTCAAAACATGATAAGTTTACTGTCCACAGTATTTTTTTGAGTGTAATTATAATAAATACACTTTGAGTACATTTATTAAGAACTAAATTTATTTATTTAACAAAAACTAAATTTACATTGGTATTTTGGGAAAATAATTACATAAGTAACAATTAATGGCTACTGTACAAACTGTATTCTGTATAATATACATTATACATTATATATTCTGTATATTATACTAAATTCGCATACAGTACAGTAGTAATCAATTCAGAATCTCAATACATTCAATAAGTATATGTTAAACTGTACCCAAATATACTATTAGATTATTATTGTACCTAAAAATTTAATACTGTAATACAGTACCAACAATTAATTTCAAGCAATTGGTTCATAGTAGCACTTTTACTGACAATTACTTTTACTGTTAATTCACTGAATAAACAAAATTCTAATTGATAATGTATACAATAAATAAATAATAAACAGAATTAGAGTGTTATTTTAAATATTCAATCGTTAAATATGAAACACCTCCTAAACGGGGGTTTCGAGAACTCCCTTGTGAGAATCTCACCTATATAATATAATATAATACACATGTTTGCGCTTAAAATGCACTTTTAATTAGTATAAAAGTAAAGGTTAGATAAATGTTGACACAAACTGATTATTTAGTGAAAGTATGGTACAATAAAATAATATAGTACAA